GTTCTTTGTTCTTTTACATAGTAAGCTTTTTGTTGTTGTTTGTTTTGGCTGGTCTTCTGAGGAGTAACTGAAAATTAATGTTTTGGGGTGAAGTTTGGAAAAGAATGGGAAGCGGGAGGGAAGCAGTTGCCCTCCAGGTTAATACTTAAGATTGCTTAAATACTTATCTTTTTTTTTTGAGACAGTCTCACTTTGTCACCCTCGGTAGTGAGCTGTGGCATCACAGCTCACAGCAACCTCAAACTCTTGGGCTTAAGTGATTCTCTTGCTTCAGCTTCCCAAGTAGCTGGGACCACAGGCGCCCGCCACAACGCCCGGCAATTTTTTTGTTTTAGCAGTCCCAGCCCGGGTTCAAACCTAGGAGCCCTGGTCCCTGTGGCCGGCGCCCTACCCACTTAACTATGGGCACCGCCATCCTCAGATGTTTCTTAAACTACTCCCTAATTCAGAGCCTGCCAGAGTTGTTTATTGAGCAGAGATCTAGTGAAGAAGTCCTTAGAATGGGGAAGTAGGGTGATAGTTAAATATTGGTGTGGCAGCCTAATCTTTTTGTCTTTCTGCTATAATGAACTTTGAATCCCTACTGAGGACGAAGGGGGGGAAGGGAGCGGGTGATTGGACTACCTGTTATCCTCTTAGGGCATTCCGAAATGTGGGTTTTGCAGGCTCCTCCCTCCTCTACAGCCAGTAACTTAGCACTCTTGGTGGTATTACATGCTGTTAGGGGGACTGTCACTTCATTATTTTCCTGGTTGCTTTGTGCAAACCTCCAGGCCCTCCGTGTTGGAAAGCTGGATGAGTCCAGTACTGAGACACTGGAGTTCTAGATCTGTCCTTTTCTGCTAAGGACTGGAAATTGACCTTTTATAATATAACATCTTGTCAAATGTACTTTCAGTTTTGTGTTTCCTTTGTACGTCTGTTTAAATGTAAACAGATGGCAACATAGTATTTATATGTAGTCGTTTTCCCTTTTTTTTTGTAGTAGTGGAGGTAAAAAATATACATAACATAAAATTTACCATTGTAACTTTTTTTTTTGAGACAGAGTCTTACTATGTCACTCTTGGTAGAGTGCTGTGACGTCACAGCTCACAGCAACCTCAAACTCTTGGGCTTAAGCTATTCTCTTGCTTTAGCCTCCCAAGTAGCTGGGACTACAGGCACCCCCCACAACGCCTGGCTATTTTTTGGTTGTAGTTGTCATTGTTGTTTGGCAGGCCCAGGCTGGATTCAAACCTGCCAGCTCCAGTGTATATGGCTGGAGCCTTTGCTGCTGAGCTACAGGCGCCAAGCCCATTGTAACCATTTTTTTTTTTTTTTTTTGAGACAGGAGCCTCAAGCTGTCCCCCTGAGTAGAGTGCCCCAGCATCTCAGCTCACAGCAACCTCCAACTCCTAGGC